CACACACACATACAAGGAGAGAGGAAAAGAGGAAGAGGTTATTTGAAACCGAGGAATCATCTTCACAGCCATTGACGATCTTCGACAGGAGCCGTCGCCTAGCAACCGGCTACGACAAACTACACGGAGCTCAGCACCGACATCAATGCTAACGTTAGCTTAGGGGCTAACTCGGTATTTCAGCAAGGATCCAAACTGAAAAAAGTTTCCTATTTTGAGCGGAAAATGGTGAAACAGACGATACAGATATTCGGTCGCATTAAACCCACAAAGAGAGCAACAGCGGTGAGTTTGCAGATGGAATGCAACATTTGAACACTATTATTGAAATCAATGCTAGTCCAGGTGGAGTGTGTAGCAAATGTTAGCGTCATACGAACGAGTCTTTGTTGTATACACGACACTGTGGTTCACGGTCCCATCACGTCAATTAGCACAGTTTGCGGTCGTTAATTGTATCACGAAGCAACTGCTCCTTAAAACCCACTTGACAGCACATGCTGCTGAAGTTATCATCACATTCAACACCCACTTTTCAATACAAGACAGCTGAAGTGATCATATGAGGGAAAGCAGAGGTGGAAATGGTGACAATAATCACGTCTCCCTTCCTTTAACGCCTTTCCATGGCAGACATGTTGACATGTCAGAGTAGACACGTGTGTAAAATAATGAAATGACTGGAACAGAGCCATCATATCAGTTATCAGGATGTCAAATGTCAAAATGTCTGCTGTGAAAGAGTAATCTTTCAAGGAAGCAATAGTTTAATTTTACCATCATTACCACATTTACCATCTTACCCGAGGGAGATTAGATCACAAACAAATAATACAAATCATCAAAAATATATTTTAAATAAGAATATAGACGACATGACTCCACTTCCTCCCACTGTCCAGAAATGAAGCTAAAATATCTTGGACACGAACGCTGCCATCTTGCACATTTGCATCTGCACAGTAGAGATCAGGGGATGACTGAATAACCATGTGCCACCTCACTCTCGATGAGTGGGAAGTCCGTCTCCGCTGTTTTTATAAATCAAATAACCAATTTTTACCAGAAATTGCTTGAACGTATATCTGTGTGATTAGTAAGTACCTAACTACCAAAAATTATATAAACCAACTTGGAGAAAAGTTATTTAAGTGTACTTTCACTTTCAAGTTTGGTCCATGTCCCATCCACCTACTGCAGTCAGCCACTAAGTGGCAATCATGAAGCTTTGGCGTCACTTTTGGCCAACAGTCATGTCATCCATCTTTGTATACGGTCTACGATAAGGACCATTTCAAGTAAGCACTTCTTGTTGACAAATAATGTGTTCTGTAAACTGTATTTAACAGAAGATGAACCATGCTGAGCCAGTGTTCAAAGCTGCTGTTCTGGGGTGTCAGTCACAAAAAGTGACAAACCAACCTACTAGTAGTTATTTTTCCAATAAAATACTCACAGGCCTACTGATTTTCACTTGCCATCAGATGTGAGATTTCCTTATTGGGCACACATGTCAAAAAAACGAATTTATTCGAAACACCTCTGGCAAAGTACATTCTTCTCACTAAAGCTCTTTTTATTGTCTGAGCACAGCAGCTGATGGAAGCAATAATCAAATTACTTTGAGGGTTTCAGTTGCACTTTAGCTTTGCCCGACAGATTACAGCAAAATCTCCCGCTCCCCACCTCCTTGGGGCTTTTTGAGGTTGACTCATTTTTTGGCTGTTTGATGTTTAATGTGAAGAAAACATTACAGTGGTGGTCAGAAATCGATACTGCAGGTAGAGTGACAATGAAAAACAATCCGATCATGTAGGTCTCATTGTATCTTTTATCACTGGAACCCTGGGGCTTGTAATGGCATCAATGTCCATTGAAAACATGTGTCAGTCAGAACATACTGTACGTCGAAGCTCGGAGCAGGGGGGTGTTTAAATTGAACCACCCAACCTAACTTTAAATGGCCTTGCTATAGGGAAATCTATATTGGTTTACAGTTTCTACAGTGTCTACTAAGGCATGGCCTTGGCTTTGGGTTTGGCTTTGGTTTAAGCAGAGGTGAATTTGCGAGGCTTGTCTACACTGTACAGTGATCATTTTTGGATTTTTCTTGCCATGTGATTTATGATCATAACAATATACAAACATCTTATTTTCCATTTTGGTGCCTGCAGTACACATACCAGAAGTGACCAAGTCATATTTAAAACCTGACATGTATCGTCTCTGTGTTTAATTCAGGCCACGTCCATGGTACCACATACATATCAACATACAAATCATAGATTATGTACTAGACTAGTCTTTAAATACAGTGCTGTGGATGAATGCTTGTTGCCATTTCTGTTGTCCTGTTTTATTGACGGGCATTCTTCCACTGCAGTGGTTTTGACAGTACTGTTGTCTCTGGCTCCCTCAGGTGTACTCTGTGGACAATGAGGAGAAGACAGGTGCCTCTCTGGAGTTCATGGTGCCCAGAGACTTAGCTGATGGCTTTGTTAACAACAAGAGGGAGTGCTACAAGTTCAGGTAGAGACTGAGACTGAGAATTCAATTTACATTTGATTTGTTCCCCAAATCAGCGAACTAATTTGTTCTATATAAATTCAACTGTTGGGGTCATTTAAGTACACCATAATGATTTATATTGTTTTCATATCTGGCTATACTTGTCTGTTATTAGTAGAGTAGTGATTGAGGTGCCAACTGTTATATCTGCTGTTCTGAATACCTTAGAGGGGGTCTCTCTATCCTCTTTTATCCTATAAAAGCACCCGCACCAGACAAATTATAGATATATATATACAAAAATATATCTACATATCCACATGTTGTGTCTTTATATTTGTATAATTAGCCACAGTCTTAAATTAATGCACAACACCAGAGCAATGGCTAGTATTTGATTTCACTTATGGTTAAGTTTAAATCCGCAGGAGTAAATGTAGAAAAAGAACAAATACAGATAGAGCAAGGTATGTCATCCACCACAATTTTAAGGTTGCATAAAAACTTTTTCCCATGAATAATTCATCCAGCAGTTCTGTCAGTGCAGAGCCAGAACATCTGTTTAACGCTGTTGGTGAAAGCTGCAGCCTTATATACCCTCTTGGCAGGGCCCATGCCACGCTTCCAAGCCCTAAATTCACAGTTAGGGAGTCAGACGGCAGTGGACACAGAGAGCCTTTGAAAACCACAGAGTCTTATAATAGCCTGCGGAGGTTCCCTTGTGCCCTTATAGAAATAAAATTTCCACTTTTAACAATCTCCATGGGCGGATTTCTCTTGCATCTCTCTCATCTTTTTCTGTGGGATAAAAGCACGGTGGGTTGAGACTGCTTTAGAAAACAGAATGACTAGACTCCTCCTTGTTCACTTGGGAAATGAAATTGAGTCTTTTTGTGCCTATTTAGTACAGCTATGGGTAACTGTGGTGAGCCTCGGATGTTTGAGATAAACCAGCAACATATATTTTTACTATATGTTATGTAGTAAATGAGGTAAAAGATTTATGCTCTTACTTGCTCTGTTCTGTCAAAAGTGTTGTGTTGATACTGTCTTTGTCTTTTGTCCAGATTCCAAAAAGTGTTTGATCAAGCAGTCAAACAAGAAGAGATATTTCAAAACATTGCCAAACCAGTTGCAGACAGGTATGATCTTACTGGCTTTGTACCATTCAAACTGAAAAATGTAAACACATGATTGTTTTAATGTTTTAAGTAATATATAATGAACCCTTTGTCAACAACTTCAACACGTTATCCTGTTCACAAATGAGAAATGATCACTGACCACCTGCGCCCAGCGGTGCTCATCTCTCCATGTTGTGGTCTGGCCACACAGGCTTCAGCCAGCCCTGTTGACAGGAAGTCAGTAAAGCTCAGTTTTCTTTAAGATGGAAATGGAGGGTGTCAGTGATTTTTGGCATGTTTTACATACTTAAACCACTAAGTGGACTGAGCTGGCAGGCAAGATGGCACGCTGTGCCATTGTGAGTGTGAGAACATTTACAAGCCACAACACAGAGCTGTACAAGATACTGTAGCTGCTTACTCGGTTTGAGCTGTTTAATTCGCCATGCACAAGGATTCATTAGATGAATCTACAGAGACATCAGGCTGTCAGATCAACAGTGCAAAGTAATGTGTTAATACCACTGAATTTAATGAAATGAGTACTACACAAGGGCATAATTTAATATAGAATCTTAAATATTTCTATAAATGGATTTAACCAATATATTGGACTGATTTGATTTGCAGGTAAACTAAGCATGTTTTCTTACTTATTATGTAATGGTCACTATAGCCAATTTATCGAGTTCATGATGGTTCATTGAATAAAGCAGATCTCTGTGTTGATATTTTTACTTGGCAACAGTGTAACAACCCAAAGTTTAGCTTTCAGAAAAGCTATAAGAACAATGATGATGAGCTATAAGAACAATGATGATAACCAGATGTTGTTATTTACAACTCCACTGATGGAAAGATGATGGAAACATGGATGGTAGTACCTCTAGCCTTACTTTTACACTGCATACATTTCCATGTCATGCATCCCTACCTCATGTATATTGATAAATCTCACTTGTGTTAAATTTAAAAAAATACTATGGACCCTTTTTGGTCAAATGTTTACATTTCCATAACATTTTTCATTATTGGGCCTCAGTGATGAAGTTAAATTCCATACTGCTTCACCAGTGAAACTAGAAAACACAACGTTCAATGCATTTCAACAGAAGTAAACTCTTACTGTCTCTAACATATCTTCCCACCCTGCCTGGACATCTAGTCTAAATCAGGACAGACATCCAAAAGAGCCAACAGAGGAGGATTTACTGGGAATTTCATATGTTGGTTGAGTCACAAACCCAGGTTCTTCCTCTCTTCTTGCCAAACGCTGTCCTCATGTCTCAGGTTAACACCACCATCTTCACAGCATTCCAGTCCAGGCTTCTTAGTCACACTACGGTCTATTTGTGGAACCTCACAAGTGTTTTGCATTATCAGTGCTGTTAGGAGACATATAAACAACATGGTGAGACGTCTGGATTGGCTGAGTAAGGTATTGACCTGACTCACATGGGTTCACTGACTTCGGTATTAGGTTGCCCTCCCCAGCCAACCTTTAACAGTTCCCCTCTCTATTATGACAGATGGTAAACATCAGTTTAAAAAGTTTCAGTCACAACCAGGTTATACCTTAGCACATCAATTTGAGCTTGGCGTCTTTTAGTCTTTAATATGACCATAATGTCTGCAGCCTCAAGGACACGAGTCCCATGTAGCCATGCCCGTCTGTTGTTCCTATCAGACATTTCATACTCAGTTCTCAGTACCTCAGCTCTGTTCGATCCTTGTTTAGACACTGAAGTTTTATGCGTTTAAATTCAAATCTATCTTATTCGTATATAGAGCCAAATAACAACATACAATGTCCCACTTGATTAATGTTAATATTATGGTGAGTAATAACACAATTTCCACATTGAGCGAGTACTTGGCAACCATGGATAAATCTCATGCCTTGTTGCAGGAATCATGAACAGAATTAAATGTGAACTGACAGAATGTTTTCCTCAAGCTCCTGTATTCGAGAAACATTTACTCAGGTTTAGTCAAGAGTGACTCTGGATCGCAACAGTTACCGCACTAAGACTCAGCTTCATGCACCCAGGCGCCTATCTTCTCAACTACCAATAACTGTCAGGTTGTTGTTTTGGTTGGTACTCAGTCATACTTTACGCACAGTTTAGCCAAATGCTCTAACTCGTTTACTTACTCGCTAGTCTCTGTCTCTGCTGTGGTGTAACCCAAACCAGTCATTTCTACCCCAACACAGTAGTTCAAAAACAAACCAGCATTAATGTCGCCAGGAGACGAAGAGCCAATGTAATGATGTCGGCCTGGCAAAGCAACCCCTCTATCTTCATTGTAATTCGATTTCACAAGGCTGTGAAACCTGCAGCCCAAATTTAAAGAAGAGTCTGGGTCCGTCTAGTATTGTCTGTACCAGTGTTACTTCAAAAAGTTTAGACACACTGCTTCTCATATAGAGAACAATGATCTTCTGGATGACAAGTTGCCAATCTCCAGGAAAATTGAGGTGTAAACAGGAAAAAGCATTGGGAAACACCCAAGCCTCAGTGGAAGGGCCCAGCCCTCATCATTAGCACACATTTTAAACTGAAGACTGAGCCTGTGTCTTTCCCCCCTGCTGCCAATCAGTACCATGACTCATGCTACATTAACTGGTCAGTCAATGGCAAGCTAACTGACCACTGTTCTCATGAGTGGATGGAGTGCTTTAAAAAAACTGACAAGTAGTTTTTTCCTCTCACGTTCTCATGCAGGGTGTGGAGCTGTACAGCACACAGGAAGGAAAACCCACACACCGCTCAAATACTGGGTCGGCAGCCCCATTAGAATAAGCGAGAGGCTTAAATTTGTTTATTATTCATCTCGAAAAATATAGTGTTGAGATATCCTTTTCCTTGCAATTGGCAAGTCAGTTTTACTATCACCTTTTATCCAAGCTTGTGTGTCAGAGGCCCCTCTGTCATTTTACTACTGCGCTGTGGAGATTTTGGCTGTGAGACTATTTTAATATTTCGTCCTGGTTTATTTCCAACACAACAGAGGGGATTTTCTATGCCAATTTAATCTACCTCTTGTGAAAACTGTCATTAGAGATACCATTGGTTTCCATTGACTTGTGCACGTGCAGAAAGGCAGCTCAGTGCCAAACCAAAATTTAGTGGGCCCTGTCTAGTTGAGCGGGTTTGGGCTCCTTCCTTCACTCCGAGACATTTCTTCCTCCCTGGCAGATCGTCTGTCGCCATAGCAGCTCTCCGCTCTCTGCCATCTTTTCCTGTGGATTTGAAGTGTCAGATTCAATTCACTCAGACCCTCGCAGGGATACACTTGACACTCGTGTGCACTGTGGCAAATTATATTGCAGTGATGTCATAGGAGGCACATGATACAAACAAGCAACGGTTTTATTTACAGACAGATGCATTCTTTTCTCAGCAAGTCATAACATATTGATGCTGTACTTCAAAGTCTTGATAGTGAATTCTCTATAAGCCCATTGTTGTGTTTCCATATATTGTCTGTTCCAGGTAAATCAAATGTCACACTTGTAAAATGTTCTTATTCTGAGGTCTATGGTCAACTTGGCTGAGGGAACAAATTGTATGTAGGTGAAAATAGTAATTCGATATTATCTAAAATATCTATAAATGATTTAATCTGGTTTTGCAAAAAGAACATGTGCTGTATGTTTACTGTTGTTACAGTAGATAATGTACATGAGTTTAAGGCTCAGCCAATGATCTCAGGCAGGTGCCAAATGTAGATCTTTTTGATTTGTATGTTCATCTTTAAATACATAAATACTCACAAAAACATAATTAACTGATGGGTTCCTAAACTAAAAGATCAGGTTTTAAAATGGTTTCTTTGTGTCTATCTATTCCTGTGTGTGTGTATGTATGTGTGTGTGTGTGTGTGTGTGTGTGTGTGTGTGTGTGTGTNTGTGTGTGTGTGTGTGTGTGTGTGTGTGTGTGTGTGTCTACAGTGTATTAGCTGGTTATAATGGCACCATATTTGCCTACGGGCAGACAGGCAGCGGGAAGACGTTCACCATCACAGGAGGGGCCGAGCGTTACAGTGATCGAGGCATTATTCCACGCACCCTATCATACCTGTATCAATGCTTCTGCCAGGTCAGCACCTGCAGCAACATGATTTTAATGTTTGACTTTAAAATCAATGTTTCAGTTTAACTTATTAACAGTGACCACACACAGTGAAACAAGCAAACTGCAAATAAGTATCTGACTGGATTCTTTCTACCATCTTTTCTTTTCCTTTAAACAATTTCTAATGCCTAGTCTCATCTGTGTGTGCATGCTCCACAGGACAGCAGCATGGTTTATACCATACACATCTCCTACCTGGAGATCTACAACGACACAGGATATGACCTTCTGGACTCCAGACAGGAGGCCTCTCGCCTGGAAGACTTACCGTTAGTGTTCTTTCTCTTTGCTTTTTGCTACAGACGCTTCAGGAATGCTGTTACCTCAGAAAATGTCGACAGTCGTACAGTGCAGTGTATATATTTCACTTACGATAATTTCATGCACGGGTGCGTGTGTTATTTTAAAGTTGAAAAGACCAATCGACGCTGGGTCCATTATTCTCCCAAACACTTGTGGGTTTAGTTGAGCCTTTTTCCTCCGCAGCCATTTGTCAGCCTGGCCCAGAGTCACTGTGTGGTGAAATGTGGAGACTCTAGTATTTACCACCCCACTATGAACTGCCAACTGACATAATGAGACTGTGGGACAGCAATGGATGTGGTCAACCTGGTGGCAGACTGGGCCACTAGAGTGGAGGGCAAGAGGGTCATGTGGAGAAATAGCTTTTCATAGGCACTCACCACTGCTGATGCTCTGAGGGAAATTCAATTTAAATCCATCTACCTATTATTTCACTAATTTCATGCCATTCTTTCTGCTTCTCTCTTTGCCTTTCCCATGTCTGTGTCACTTTCTCTGTCTCCTGTTCATTCTGTGTCATCCAGCTATATTTTCTGCTTGTTCCTTCTTTTTGTCAATCTTTCTTTACATCCATTATCTTAATGTCATTTATATTTTACCTGTTGTCATACTCATAACTTTCTCATCTCAAAGTGGACTTTGGACTTCCAGACAGGACATCATCGCGGTACATCATTTTTGGTGTTTGCTGTTTCTTGTACCAGTTCCATTTAAGTTTTCTCTCTCTTCTTACAGAAAATCCAGCTCAAGGTTTAGATGCCCACAAATCACAGTCTGCTGCAAATAGACAGTGCCCGTCGTTAACCATGCTGTGGCCACACTTGCTGATTCAAGGAGAAGCTGAGGCAGTTACAAAACGTCTCTCTCTGAACATTGGGCTGCTCCTCTCTGTCACTGCCTACAGAATCTATTTTCTTTTTGATATTCTTGCATTCATTTTTTCCTGGTTCACTTATTGTCTCCATCTGTGCTTTATTTCCATTATGTGCTCAGCATTCCACCCTCTGTTTGTTCAAAAGTCAGTTTTACAAATGTGTTTTAATGCATCTGTATACTTTTTTTATATTTGTGTAAAAACACAACAATTAGATCCTACTTATGGGGCTGGTTAGGAAAATAACCCTCCTAGGACACAGTCTTTAATCACACTGAGACTAATACTGCTTTATCAAACGACCTCAATTACCTACCCATGTTGACACAATTATCTACATGTGTTCTCTAGTCATTCCGCCCTCTCTGACATCTCAATCCAGTAGCCAAACTGTCACAACCCTGGTGGCATGATGGAAGTGATGTGGTAAGATCATAGGAGTGTATTCATAGCCAACTGTTCCATCATGTTATGTTTCAGCGTGCCTGTTGCGGCTAAAACCCAATTACCTGTTTGTTTTTAAAAGCAAGCCCTGTCTGTTATCAAGTTATGAACCCCCGGACAGATAAAGCACGTGTCAGCTTGGGTCGCAGCCCACAGCGACTTGCAGATGTGGTTTGTTTGGATTTAGAGCCAAGCGAGACCAAGTCAATTGGAGGAAAATAGATGAATTACAATGTCTTGTAATTGTCTCAGTGTTTGGAATATTTGGGGTTTGATTTGTCCTGAATTGTCTTTTTTTTCATGTTTTTTTATATTCTGAAGTTAATTCATCATGCTGGGATTTCCTCAAGTAAAGTTTGGGGGTTTTTTTCTTCTTTTTTCCAGAAAAGTAATGATTATGGAGGATTCAGACCAGAATATTCATCTCAGGAACCTGTCGCTGCAGCAATCATCCAATGAGGAGGAGGCTCTGAATCTACTTTTCCTGGGAGACACCAATCGCATGATTGCAGAAGTAAGAGTTTCTACTCTACTCAGCAGAAATGTTTAATATGACCTCAACTTTTAAGTCGCTCACCATCAATGCGTCAGTGGTTTTAGTCAGGACTGTAAACGGTTACCACTCCCAGGCTAAATGGCATAAAGGTTATTTTTTGGACATGAATGTAATGGACATTCTAAAAGCTACCTTAGGACCCTTCTAAAATATTATTTTGGTCCCCTGTGGTCCCTTTTACCATGTGTTTTCTAGTAAAACCAAGCCATCTCTCTGTAATTTCTGTTTATGTTGGGTTTTTCTACTCTCAGACACACAGACTCCCCATGTTGATGAGACATCCGGTGGGCCAGCTTTTGCTTTGCAACCTGAGGTTTGGAGCAAAAGGCCTGAGCTCACCTTGTTTACTGTTGTTGCTGGATTGTATGTAAATAGCAGACAGCAAAAGTGAACGTGATTATCAGGTTTCAGACAGAGATTCGCTTTTTCATTTCTCACAAGTCGATTTCTGTTGTGACTGCAGGATTCTTCCATTAAACAAAAATCAGTGCAAAAGAAGTGGTTGTGGGATTTAAGATGGATTTTGGAAATGGTTTTAGTAGCTAGTATCGTGTCACTTTACTTGAAGTGCATGAGAACGTGCATCACAATTGACATATTCCACTGAACAAAGGCCATTACCAAATGAACATTGCATTTGTTTTGTTTTTCCTTGAGGATGCACTTTAACACCAGTGTCCACTGTTGTGAAATCAGAGGAAATATTTTAGTAGAAACACATTCCTGAGTCTTGCATTAGTTTATCAAGGGGTTGCAAAGCTCAGCAGGGAGCCCCCAGCATAGTCCACCCATTCAGAGACTTTTGTAAACTCTGTCATTTAAAAAAAAAATAAAGATTTCTCTTGAGCCTGAAGCAAACAAAGAAGCATCGTGGATAATTTAGCAGTGCCAGAATCCTCCCAGAAGTCCTTGCTCCTCATGGACCTCTGATAAAGTTAAAGTAATACTTTCTTTGTTCTCCTGCTCACAGCCATGTGGACAAAATATGACGCATCCATTCACACCACACTCAGCAGACCATGAGCTCACTCGCTCTGAGACCTGGCAATCCCCTCTACACTTTTATTGGACAGGAAATAAAATGCACCTTATCAACTCCTCACCCTTCCTTTTTCCTCACTGGGAAAAACTTCCTCTCATCTGGTTTAATCTCTGCATGCTTTTTTCTTCTCTTCACATCTGCGGATGAACAGCCTGGACCTCTCCCCTTACTTCTACATCCTAAGTGCCTCTTGGCAGAAAATTCACTCTCAAAATCTTTTAAATCAGTAAACCTCTAATTGATCCAGTAGCACAAATTGCCCCTTTTATGCTGCATCACTTTAACACCGTGTGTGGTCAGCATTGTGTCAATGTAAAACACATGAGAGTATAGGAAGTGACTCCACTGAAGTTGTTTTGTTCTGTTGTTTTCCAAAACTAAGGCTCCTTTGTGGATACGATTTCCTCTGTGGACACACACAGTTTACGAACTTTTAAATTGACATACTGTATTTTATCTGCTCTTGTCTATTTGTGCTGACAGTTATTCGAGGACTCCTAAAAAACACTTTTTTGGTGATATCAAAATGACATTTTTATGGTGAACATTAAAACCTTAAAATCTGGACTTTTACAGGCCCCTGTTTGAAAACAACATGCCCCAAATGAATAGAATACATCTCTACAAGTACAGGGTCTATATGAATAATTGTAGTGTATATAAAAGTAACAATTGTGAGATTCCTGCAGAAGTATAAGCATCGGTATAGATGTTACTAGGTCAGAGAAAATATATATCCGCTCTTTTTTTTTATTTTAGTGAATATATCCCTTATGAAATCTTGCATCTCAACATCTCAAAACTTCTGCTGGGGCTCAGTCTTGATAAATAAAACAGTAAAAAGGACACAATGACACATAAGAGCCAATCCAGTCATTCACTCCTTATCTGTGTGCAACTGCCTGTGTATTTGACTGTCATCTATGGGTGCTGGTTTGCATTCCCACTTATTATGCCTTCACCCCTGTCCATTTATGGTTGGTTTGTATGTTTATTTGTTTGTTATCAAGATTATGCCAAAACTGCAGAATGCATTACCACGTGGAAGGATGTGGTGTAGGTCAGGAAAGAACCCATTACATTTTGGTGTAGATCTCTATCAAGAATTTATTTCTTTAACTTTGTGAGATAGGGCCTATTTTTTTCCCAGGGACTAATTAATAAGTCATGATGAAAGAAATCTCACAAATTACTGGACTGATATTTAAGAGTGTGTGCAATCTGGGGCAGCTTGATTAAATTTAAGGGGACTGTTGAACCTTGGCAGAGGTATGCTCTCTCCTGAGTGCCATTGTAATATGTCACTTTATTTTCTTGGGGCATTTATTTCCACCAAGCAATATACTATTATTGGTTTTCCTGACTGTATCAATATAGCAATATCTGGAGATACCTCTTGACTTAGACACATTGGGTCATAGAGTCATATTACTGCTACAGTTTACAGTTCATTTTCTAAATGTTTTTTGGAAGATCAATAAAAATATTCACAGTCATAGATTCTGGATCACGTACATCCTAGAATCTGTAAATGTTTGAACACATAAAAGCAGATTAATGTTGAAGATGTCAAAATATTAACTCGGGTTTTCTCTTAGTGATCTGCTTTTTGCCACATGTAGAAAACACATTACAGTTTATCACATTAGCATGTTAGTGAAGTGACGTCTAAAACTATGTGGTTTAGCAAAATTACCAAACAAGCTATTTATCAAGATGTTAACCAGCACTTGTTTGGTGTTAGTTGGTGTTAATGGGATAGTTTTAGAAACACTGAATCTCATTTCCCTAAACATGTTTGCAGTCTTGTTAGGTATGTGATCTTTTACTGTCTCAGGGCTGCTTCGTGTTACTTGAAGCGATACCCTGTGGAGCATATGTAGATGTGTGCAGAGTGAAGGGAATTCGGATGGAGGAAAGTAGATGACAGCGGTGGGTTAAGATAGTGAAAGATCTGTCAAGAGCTGTCATGACCCTAACAGGCAGGTGTTGGCACATGTATGCCAACAACAAGTCAGGGTCAGAGCACCTTTGTAGAATGAATGACCAGGAATGTCTGTGATGATGATGTTTTCATGCAGAGAGGAAAAGTGAGTCATGTCCAGATCACAGATCAGTTACAAATCCACAAAGGGAAAAGAATCTCAGCCTCGCAGAAATGCATATAAATGAAGACATCCTGTATCATCGTGATAAGTGTCATTTATGACCACAGTGTGTTAAAGCTTAGGAACAAACAAGAACACAAAAAGAATTCCATAATCAGCACTTTGTCACCGAATGTCATTTCCTCTGTTTATTCTCTCAGTGAGGAATAATTGAGTAAACAATCCACCCTCCTGTAGTTAATAAAGTTTGTTTGTGCAGAGTGACTCACACTCTAATTCTGTCTCTTCCTGGTCTCGACCTGACTTCTGCTGATTCAGTGACCATCTAAAGAATCAACCTCAGCTTTAAGCCGTCAACATGTGTTTACTGCTCATCAATCACACATGGTGCAGCTTTGATCTTCAAACCAACACAAAAATAAAAGATTAAGAGAAAACATGTTTTGGTTGTTTGAATATGGGGATACCGCAGCTGGATAATAAAATTCCTGTTTCTAATTTTTGAGTATCATAATTTCAGGGGATTTCAGGCCACTCTCACACAAACCTAATTGCATCTCAACAGTACTGCAGTATTTTCCTGTTCTACTGACGGTTCTCTCTGTCCTCTATTTCTGCTGCCCCCAGACTCCCATGAACCAGGCATCGACACGTTCCCACTGTATTTTCACTGTGCATGTGTGCAGACGGGAGCCAGGCTCAGCCACTGTGCGGCGCTCCAAGCTCCACCTGGTGGACTTGGCCGGATCAGATAGAGTCAGCAAGACTGGCCTGAATGGGCAGCAGCTCACCGAGGCCAAGTACATCAACCTCTCCCTTCACTACTTGGAGCAGGTAACTACTGTACCTCTGAAGCTTTGATATCAACACTGAAATACATTTGGGCATTGAATATGTTCTATTTGATTTGTCTTCATGTTTCTCGACATGATATGATTTTAATGGATACCATGCTTCCTTATATCTTCAACTCGCTATTAGTTAATAATATTCCATTTAGCTGTTTGACATTGATAAAAGGTTGTCTTGCCACTGCTGTATGAACAGTAATGATGCTATTAGAAAAGAAGACGATGCATTTATCATTGTCTTCTTTTCATTTCTTTCATACCACCTTTGTCTTCATTTACATGGCATTGCCCTTTTAATTCTTCTCTTTCTCAGGTGATCATTTCTTTGTCAGAGAAGAATCGCTCCCACATTCCCTACAGAAACTCCATGTTAACGTCTGTGCTTCGGGACAGCCTTGGGGGCAACTGTATGACCACCATGATCGCCACAATTGCAATTGACAGGAGGAACCTTGATGTAAGGGCGAACAACACAATGACATGTTCTGAAACATTATTCTTTTAGATTGACAAAGGTTGAGGAGAAATAGTATTATTAGTTTGTTGGCTTTGCTAGTTTCCTCTGTAAGGAGTGAATGTACCTTTTCTCTAATTATTTTTTTCATCTAAATTTTGTGGCCAAGCAAAACCAATATTTAAATTATATTTATCAAGATATGAAATATTGTTTTATTGTGTATATTTTGCTAGAAGTTGATGAAAAGTTATGCTTTGTTCTTATCTTTGTTGAGTCTTCGTATTCACTGAAGAAAATGTATCAAATCAAGTAGAAATTAAGATTTGAAGAAGAAATACTACTTTTTTCAAATCTCTTTTCCTCAGGAATCCATCTCTACATGCCGCTTTGCTCAGCGCGTGGCTGTCATTAAGAATGAGGCGATACTAAATGAAGAACTGGATCCCGCCTTGGTGAGACAGCCAGACATGGCTACAAATACCAATGCTGAGCCACAGTCACACCACAGAAGCATGACTTAATGCGCTGTTTCATTAGAGCCAGACCCTCCTCATAGCTTCCAGACCTTAAATTGATCACTGAGTGTATAGCAGCGAGAATCCAGCTTCTAAATGTAACTAAGTGGAACCCATGTGCTCAAGTGTCTTCTTTAGGTTTCCATTCGTAATTCGTTTTTTCAGTGTCAGACAATCTGCGAGAAGCCGTGTTCAACTTTTTGAAATGTGGACATGTGTCCATCTTGAGCTACTTAGATTACTCACAGGTTTTTGCATTCTCTTTGTTGTTTACATCCTTCCAATTCTATTATGGCTTATTTTATCCCATTTCATCGAAAGCAGTCAGCTGCAGACTGGTGTCTATTGGACGTATGTATGTCTTCACGCATAAATCCACAAAATACATGCATGCATGCACGTAGAGAAAGTCTTGGTCAGATGTGGAAGAAGAGAGAGGGAAGTTTGTTGTATTTATTATGCATATGTTTTATTTTCATAAATTAGAGATATAGATTGTTAGATTGTTTCAGCTTATGTGGCAATAGACTTTACACATGGTTCCATATCTACCTTTTTATTACATATATGGGAAATCACATGTCTGAGCAGTTTAGCCACATTATCCCTTAACAATAACCTCCCTCTTATCACTTTCTACCTTGAATTCTTGTCAAATCCTCTAAGGAGTTTATCTCCTATTAAAAGGCTATGCACTTTTAATAAAGATGGGAAATAAACTCCATATCCGTCCTCTGTTGTAGCCTGCCAGAAAGCAGACCTGGTGGTTGTTGTAACAGGCCCTTGGGGAGAGATACAGTAATAAGTCATCACAGCTTTACATCCGCTTCCTCCCCTCACACCCAGATCTGCCTCAGGATCAACTGCTACTGTATTACTGCTACTAAGACTTGGCTGGCCACTTGCAAACCCCACAGAGGTATTTTTAAGAGAGTCTGCGGCCGGCCCAGTAATTGTGACAGTGTCTGGTAGCTCCCACTTGGGTCCGGCACAGTTACAGCTTCAGGAAAACCCAAACTCCATGGGCAAACTTCTTGTCTCTGTTTATGGCTTTTTAGTGTGTTTCTCATTTTGTTCATTGCTCCCGTCTCTCTGTCTCTCCCTCTCTATCTCCCTGGTTTACTAAGAAACAGCAAAACCAGCAGTGCAGTCCACAGATTAGAATTATGTCATTTTTTGCTTTGCTTTGCTTTCTGGCTTGGGGTGACACTTAGACTCCTACTTTTGGCCCTACCCATCTAAAGGCACACTTTCTATTGGACACGCTGACTGTAGTAGTTGATTTGAAATCTGGAATTGGCTTTCCCCAATCTTGCAGTCAGTGTTTGCTACATCATTTGGACCACACACTGCCTTAATGGCCCAATGCTGTAGCCTGCAGCCTACAAATGGCAGTTCTTGAAATCCAGATGGGAAAGCAGCCAGACCAGACGAAAATATTTAACAAGTCTCTCGTGGAAAGAATGAGGTGTTGAAAGTGACCTGTGATCATAAGGAATTCAGCTACAGTGACCAAACCATTTATGGTTCTCTCTTAGCTCCTCTGAGAACACTATGGTCAATCTTAATCCTCCCCTGAGACCAGGCTGATACTGGTCTGCAGTCATCACAGGCGAACTGTCAACCATACTTTTGCCACCTTACTATTGCATTTATTTCAAGTTTATCAACTTGAGGATTGTGTGCAGGGGTTTGCTTTAATTTCAATTTAATCATTGTCAAACTCTCTGTAATCTTTAAGGCATCAGACAAGTTGATTTTAAGATCTTATGCAGATAAGTGGAGGGTAATAGAAGGCTGTGTGACCCTACTGAGCTTGGGCCCTACACATAAAATCTTGCTTGAGAAGACAACTCTGATTGGTGATAAGTGCACACCAGTGAGTCAAACAGAGGCCTGGTCAAAGCCCTAGAGAATTTTTACACTTGTTTGGCAACAAGTGTAAAAATTCATACAGGTGGTTGCTCTAACTTGGTCTTTTGTATGTCTTGGTTTTTTTAAGGAGACATATTGATTGTTCCTATGAAAACATTTGGCAAAGTTAAATAGACCAAAGTCTGGAGAAAAAACTGATCCTGAAGCTCCTGAAACACCTTTTCAGGAGCTGATACTTTAGGAGAAACGGGACGTCATGTGACATCACACTGGCCCTACATTTGCCTATTGCACACCTAGTGGCTGATATTAGAGAATGTAAACCTTGTCAATTAAAAACCCAAATTAAATGATGAACCTGAGCATGAAATGTCTCCTTTAAGACTGAAGGGAGTTGGTAAGTGTCGCAGTGTAGTGCAATGCTTCACGTGTGGAACACAGCCCATGTGTTAAGGTGTTGATGGAAATTATGCCTCCTCTTTCATTTAGACTCGAGGTTCTGTGAGAGCAGCATGTTTGTCAGTGTCGTACAACATAATACATACTGTATGCATGTGAGGTATAATCTGTTGTTATCCTGCAGTATATACAGTTTATTGTAGATGGTTTCTTGCACTGAGCGGATGCTATGTTTTCAAGAAAAAGAGGGATCATGTGAAGGTAGGACTGTTTAAACATGTAAGGTCAATATTTCAAAGTTTATAGTAAACACATACATACCATACATGCAGTGTTGTTTTTCCATCACTATAACATTCTGCATGTTGCATTGTTGCACTGACATGGATTTCCATATAGGATACGCTGACATCATCAGTCACATGTCCTGAGTCAGTTTTTATTCAGAGTGTCGGGAGTCTGTTGCGGTGCTGTGGTACCAGTCTGGGCTTGGCGCTCTGAAATAGACTGCACCATTCTGCTGACCAACAACTAGTGGTCAGCTCTAGAGGATGCAGCTGGGAGACTTACATCAGACCGTGGCTTCCAAAAAAGAGATACAGGGAGCGGCTCTGGTGACGGATGGTCAGCTATGATACTCAATGTTGAAAAATATGATACAGGGCGGATTAAGGGTAAAATTTTGTTAAGTTAAGTGGCACCTACCCAAAACCGCACTGTATGTCTGTTTCTTCTCAAGAGCATCTCGAGTTGACAATGTCTGACTGTATGACTGGTTTTGTCTTTCCATTTATCTGCTAGAAGTGGCGGCACTTTCCTCAGTTAGATCACTCAGTCTGAACGTTGACTCTGATTTAGTTTCACTGGCCTTTGGCTCCTTAGCAACTTTGCGTCAGAAGTGTCACTGTGTGTCTCTAGCACACAGTCGCCATTTTCTTTTGTATTTGCTCTTTCCTACTGAGAGAGTTCCAGTCTTTCAGTCTGCTTTAGTATTTCGCAGTGTGGTCAAATTCAGTAGTGATAGTTGAGTGGGATTTATGCTGAAGGAAGAAGTTGGTCATGTGAGAAAAAGAACAATTGCCACTTGTTTCTTGGTGGTGTAGTGTGTTTTTTTTGTGGTGTGATTTTATTTTATTACAACTGGTCTGGCATCTGCTCAGTATCTACACCAACCATTGATTTTGGTGTTGGCCTGTTTTTCCCTGACATTAACATATAATTGTACATTTCTGTTTATATTTAATGTTCCCTTCTTGGAGAAAATGAATATGTTCCAAGAAGTTTTGGATTTGGAAAATACACAGTTAACATTACGTACAACAACCTGCCGAGAAATCAAGCTATAGCGTTTCATTATGATAATCAGTCATAACAAATCGACACACTGCTCAGGCACATTTATCCTCTGAAGATTAGCTTATATGGTTAAATGTCAACCAGAGCTGGAAACATTTGGCGAGTTGTATTTTCAAGTATTAAACTGCTTGTCATAAATTCTGTACAGTGATAATGGCTTTTCAGACATATTATTCAGTGGAATGATACTTTACTGTTATTATCGTGATTATGATTTTTGACTTTTGTAGATGCTCTTGCTGTTGCTAATGTTACTTCAAATACTGCATCTCAGTACTAAAAAGGAGCGTCTGGACTTGAGATATTTAATTTTTTTTTATATATATACAGTAACCAGATCCGGACAGCGGTTACCAAGAGCACCCAGCCTGTTGGCTCAGTGTGCAGGGCTTTAACCAAACACGTGCGGACAGACAGCAGCAAAAGGTTTTATGTGTTCTTTTTGTAGCTAATGCTATTTTATATTTTGTTTCCTGCTTTTTCTCACTGGAGCATCCAGGAAATGAAATGTCTGGAACCACTTAAATGTGTCTTCAAGATGCATCTGCAAGATAAGCCACAAAATAATTCTTAGAGGGATTGTCTCATCAGTTCGCAGTAGCCAAACAGTGTCCGTCTGCACGTGCTTGTGCCTGAGTGTCTGTCAGGCACTGTTCAAATGTGTGCATATTTACATGATGTGTGTGTACAAAGAGTTGAACCTCTAATCTCGTGTTATGTGTGTGTTTCAGCTCATAGCCCGTCTGAAAAGGGAGATCGAGTCTCTGAAGGAGGAGCTGGCCATGGTGACAGGACAGCAGAGAAAAGACCAGCTAACTGTGGAGGAGATAAAGAAGTACGTCATTTCTTCTTCCTTGATTCCTGATCCCTTCAGTGCAGTCAGCCTCTGACCATCACCTGGACATTATGGCCTGTGATGCTAAAGATAATATTAAGAGGAATAAGGAGGAGGCAAAACACTTATTCATAAATCTAGAGCAAAGTAACTGTTACATACTAACTGTTTGAGAGGAGGCTCAGAAAACTGGAGCGTAAAAAAAGTAACATTGGTTACAAAAAGAGATCAAGTAAAATAATGTGTTTCATTTGAGATGTTTCAGATACAGCAGTTTTGGGACATTTTACCAAGAGTCAGAACCTGAAAAATACCTCAGAACAAACCATGTATTGGTGAAATGTATTTGATAAGTTAAGTAGCTTGTTGAACTGAGATCAAACAACTTAAACATGATAACATAAGCGGTTCTCAAGTTTGTCTTTCATATATAAAGAACGCAGTTGGAGATTCTTTGGTCACACGTGTTCAGAGTGTTTAGGTGAAGGGTGGGGACAGGGCAGCATGCAGGATATAACGTATAAATTCACAATCATGTCTTCTATGTGTGCGGCTCCACTTTTCCATCCTGAGATATTTATATTCTTAAATATTTTTCAGTTTTGCATCTGTTGCATTCTAAAAAAGTCATCAACATGCCCACTCACTCATGGTGAATCCTCCAGAGGATCTCCTGAGTCTGCTGATCCTCTCACTCAGACATTTGCGCTCTCACATCCAGCTCCTCCAGATAATGTTAGGAGAGTTCATTTCATCTCCGAATTCTATACTGGGAAATTCAGCAAACCTAGGCAAGTGAACTAAGTTGGTGTGAGTGTGTTCCTTTTCCAAACTTTGTTTTGAGAGGAGCCTCAGGAACATGTATATTTGTGAAGTATGCACATGTTTATATTTGAGTATAGTAATGTGACCTCAGTGAGCCAGTCATCTCAGGTCAGTGCCACTGTGTAAGTGCTGTGTCGGCCTTTCCAGCCGTTTAAATGTACCTCAGGCCCAGGAAAAGAGCAGTTGTTTTTTGGACTTCCCTTTGTATTACTCAAAACCCAGAGTTCCTTATTGAGCACATATATTTTGGGATTTATGTTGTATTTGGCTGTTAATAAAGTGCCTCCATAACTTCTGCTGTTGGCTATGCCTCGATGCTGAGCTGAAGCCTCCTTCACTGAAGCTTAACCAGATCTAATGGAGTTTCCCGGAGCTCCGCTTCAGCCAAGTTTATTTGTCAAGCAGGGCCAGAGTTCAGGCCAGAGGTTCCACTGAGGACTTGGCACATCCAGGCTTGATGTATTTACCACGCCTCAACCCCCTCAGTCCGCCTTTTTATTATTTCCTCTCTACCCGCGTGATTATCCTCGATTTCCCCCCTGGTTGTGGTCACACTCACGGAGGGAACCTTTAATGATGTCTGTTGTGACCACATTCACTGGACATGCTGATTTTTTTGTTGCTGTTTCCTCTCCATGTTATGTCTTGACTCATCCCCAGTGAGTGATAGCCCATATCCTGGCTTATTTTTTTGACACATGTCCAAGCACATACACATACAGCATGTCCTCTAGCATATGGATTTTTTTTCTTTACTGGAGATTACCCTGCTGCCTCGGTGCTGGATCAATATGTTACCATACAAGCTGACGTCAATTAAAGTTTTAAATATTAGTTTTATAGGTTTGCTCCATAACATATCGCCTTACTTTGGAGAAACTAAGTGGATTTCTTTTAAATCTGGCATTTGAAAGATTTTTCCTCTGAGAAGATAATTTAAACATGACATTGTACAGCATTCTCTACAATCAAATTTCAGGAGCTTGAAACAAGATGCTACATTTGTATTTTGCCCCTTGTCATGTAAATCTAGTGTGTTTCTACGCCTAACACGTTACAGTGGAAAATAAAAACCGCACGTTGTCGTGCCTGCATTGGATCTATTTGGAAGGTTGCCTCCTGGTCTTTTCCAGTGGCTGGTTCCAGACTGTGAAGAACCAATGTTTGGACTATCATCTAGTGATAGTTTATCAACTGGCCGGCCGTGTGGAGCTGGAACACACATTTATGTAAATAGTTTTCTCTGACCAGACCCACATTTTAAACATTAGAAGCACTTCTCAAATATAGATCTTAACTATGTGAGAGCCTTTATTAAGTGTGATGGAGAAGGATTGTCACATGGTATGTGTAATTAATTTAAGGTTTGATATGTTATTACGTGTGTGTGTGTGTGTGTGTCTGTCTATATCTGTGTGTTTAGGTTGGAAGAGCTTGCTAAGGCCTTTCTGGGTGACCCTGATCCAGACATGACTCTGTTACTGGGACCAGACATGAGGAAAATCCAGTACTGTTTCTCCCTGTTGAAGGTAACGTTCACTTCAGTGTGTTCATGATACAGGGTTTGTGTGCAGGCACCCTGCTGGATAATCCTATATGTTTCTATGCTCTCTGTCTATTATCTATACTGCATATTGTAAGGTACCGAGGGGTCTTGCTCACATTGGTTGGGAGGCTGGCCTTGGACAGGTCGACACCTTTTCATAGGGTCATCATACGGAGACAAACATTCACTGTCACATTCTCTTATTCTCTCCATCTAGAAATTATTTATTTATTTATTTATATCAGGTCTTACTTGAAAAACAGATTTTTCATCCATCAGCTCAGCAATCACTTCTTCTAAATAGTTCTCCCTACTCTGCCTTCCTGAGAGATACTTCACTTTTGAATTTACTTTTTTTAATGTGCTTATATCCTACTATATATAGTTACTATCTCGTCAGATTGCGTGTGGATAGTATTGTATTCCCTCATTTTCACAGAATAAGCTGATGATCTTATCCTCAGGCCTAAGCTTAACATTGTAAATCATATGTGTGATGTTATTCATTACCAGTCAGTGAAAACACAATTTTGTCCAGGCAAAATCTCTGAGATATGTGTTACTCTGTAGGTTGGCCAGAAAATGAAATATTTTAAGATCCACTGATTCCCAGTTTTGTCCAGTGCTGTTGATTTTCCCACAACCTGACTTGAGTCTAGACACTTGGTGTTTTACAGTTATGTGCCATCTAATTAGATGCAAGGTGTAATGTTGACAGTAATTGTTGATGTGTGTATTTTAAACAGATCTCCTCAAGAGTTTGCACAACAGCTAAAAAAAGTTAAGTCTTCCTTTGTCGCAGTAAACAAACAGTTTCTCCTCTTTGGGCTGAGACACTGAACAGTTGACCGAGTGTATTTTTTATTTTATTGATAAGTTAATATTGTTTTATAAAATGAAAAATAATAGTTAACTGCAACCCAACATGTATAATGCTGAAAGTAAGCTGATGTTTGTATCTGTTATGAATTGGTTAGTGGATAGATGTAGATATTCATGTATTTTTGTTATGATCACAGGGTTTGGACAAATATAACAACATTGTATATATATACTGATTAAGAATTGACTAATTTGTAATATTTGGCAACTAATACTTTTGTTGCTTTTAAACACAGTATCACATGCTGCTGGTTAAGGTCATGTTTGTGTTTCGTCCAGGTGTATTTAATAGTGTTGATGTTTGCAATTGCATGTTGACTTCAGAATATTGGTAGAAAAAAAGCAGGTCATAAAAGTTTTTGTTTATTTGACAAAGTCTGATTGGTTATAGATTTAATTCAGCATTTCTCATACAGCAGCCAATGACCCACTGCTGCTAAATGAGCGTAGGGAAAACACTGCAGCGCTCCCACTGTTCCATGGCTATGGTTCGGTTGAAGTTGGAGCCGCCACCAGAAGCAGTTCCAGATCCCACTCGAAAGCCTGTTTATCTCTCCTTCAGTTTGTTATGATCTCCTGTTCAGTTTACATTCCTCTGAGCATCACCCCAATCACACTCCACTGATTCTGTAGGAATTTGGATCTGGTTTAAATTTGATTTTCCTCTTCTTTGTTCTCAATGCTGTTCAAATACCAGAGTGCGTGCCTTCAGTTTTATCTTTTGATTAATGTGACCTTATATGTGTGGTGTGACCTCCGTCATTTAGCACTTTGTGTACAACTGAAAATGTATCTTTGAACCTGGAAAACGTCAGCCCAAAACTCCAGCGTCAGAGTGCTTCCATATATGCCCATTAAAACCTCTGAGACCATCCTCCCTACTCAGCTCGACCGTTCTTCTCCGTTGTATCTGCTCCATGCAGAAAAAACTCAGAAGCTTTAACACGTTTCCCACCTGTGTGTAAAGTTGGAAAATCACTGAGTTATATTGCAGACAGGGAAAAGAGGGGTTTTTATTTAATGTTAAAGGAATATCACAGAATACTTCTTAGGGTGGTAACATGCTGCATTTTCCAGCTTCTTCACATACTTGAGATTCAATGGTTGTTTAGATGTTTTTCCCTAGAGCAACTCCACCTGTATTAGACAGTAGGCTGTTCTTTTCCTGTAAAAGGTTATTGAGCAAAGAGTTTTTGGAAATATTAATTCCATCATATGACTAAATGTGACTTTAGGCAATTAGTAAGAACAACCCAATTTAATTCTTTAAAATAATACAACCACACATACAAGAATGTGAAGCAACCGTCAGTTCACCAAAGTTGAACCTCATTCAAAGACATGCTGGAATTTGCTTTACCACAGGAAGTCAAGTTTTATTAGCTTTCTCTCTTGAAGAGATTGGAAGTAAACCAGGAGGCAAAGGTTCGCCACTGATTCATTTGCGTAGGTGACTGGCCAGTGAATGTTTCTTTTATATTTTTCATACAGGAAATGATTCTGGACAAGCAGCGTGGCGGGAACAAGCGCAGTGATGGGAAAGCATCACCAGCAGCAACAGTGAGTGAAGAAGTAATTCAAGACAACCACCCCAGCAGTTCAACACAAGTGACCAAATTGAAGGAGATGCTGACTCAGCGTGATAATGAAATCAGTATCCTTTGACATCATGCAACCAACTTTGAGGACATAGTACATCTGACAATGCAGACTTTTCTCATGCATCAGTATGTTGAGGTAATGGGTTATATAGTTAGTCAGACAAATTATTATTTTAGAGTTATTTATACATTTTCATAGTATAGTCTATTTCTTATCACAAGAGAAATCAGTAGCTGTCATGAAATCTTTTGGAATTTTTGATTTGTTTTTTATTCAAGAACTGAAGAAATGTAAAAAGGTACATTTAAAAGAAGCAGCAGACTACATTTGTCTCAGTGGAAGCACAGCTCAGTCTACAACCTCCCCAGATGAATGGTGGAGTTAGCAGTGATGAGGAATGCATTGTGTATGGGATTGAAATTCCACATTAGGGGAAAAATGGGGAAAAATCTACAAAAATAAATGGAGTGGGGTATGTTTCAACTCAAATATGCGTCTGCACTCACTTCCTAATCACACTTACTGTTGAGAAAGGTATTAATTCTAAAGCGCCTGTGTTATTGCATAGTTGGATTACAGCACTTCACACACATGCATTTGAAAGTGCAAGTAATCTTGTATTCAAAGCAAATATGAAATTATGTTTTAATGTGTTTGTTCGGATCGGTCTTTATCTAATGACTGCAGTTAATCATAATTATGTTTTTTCACATTTGAATATTATATTTCTAATGGCTTTATTGGATCGGTCCCTCTCGCTGTGGCTTGTCATTAGATCATGGCATATTAGTAGGAAAATTGAGATGTCTGGTTGATTATTTAGCCACAAAAACCTCAGCTCAAAAATAAAGTGAATTTTATCCTGCTCTTTGTAGATTTTTCCTCTGAAAATGTCATACACTGGTTTTCACATAATGTAAATATAATTGCCAAAATTGCTATAGTGCGTGTTTAAAAGCACATATTTCAGCTCGTAATGCAAACACTCCGGTGACCGCGTCGCTTTTATGTTCTTTTACTGTGAAGCTTGTATATAAGGTTGCAGTAGCCTAAACTGGTGGTGGAGGTGGTCTGTCTATAGCATGTAACACTATAGTGTTGGTTGACCCCCGCCTCTCAGGGGTGACATCATTTCCACACAGACCCCTGACGACTATATCACATCATTTCTGACTGAAGTTTGTATCTACAAGTTAAATCACGTTACCTCTTCTCTGCTTAAACCTTTACTGGAAGCCTTGCTTCTGTTTGACTGTTGCCAGACTGACGCTGAGTCCTCGCTGGGTTAATTATGGGAGAGTCCCCTGTAAAACAAAAGGGTGCATCTCGACCCTCTGTCCCTGTGTGTTCCCATTAATGACTGACTCCTCACAGGAGTGGGGCAGCTGGTAACACTTAGCCGAGTCTGCTGGGGTGATGGCACATGCACTGCTCGCATGATGATAGAGCAACACGGAGAACTAACGAGCACTACTGACTTCAAGGAGTAACATTGCATATGCATTAGTAACGCTGGGTAAAAACGATTTGCCCAAATGTCACGTCTTAATGAGTACATTTCAATTTAAGTACCTTGGACTTAGCTTTGCGGTCGTGACATAAAGAGGCTCGACAGTAGTAAGCTGTTCATTTATTTAATTTAACGACTGAAGTAGAACATAAATGTAAATATTGTCTAATGGCAGTGATGCAAGGCCATAAAAACTCAATTTTCAGGTAGAAAAATATGAATGGTCATATTCACAACCAGCAAATTATTCCATTTTATATTCTCTCGGCCTTCATGGGCTGTTGAAGTTATTCAAGAACGATTTGGCAAATACCAAGTCACAATTACATAGTTGATTTGGTGCATAAGGTAACTCACAGTGTGTGTACTACACTGGCAAAGAGTGACTGGGTTCTCCTAATGACTTCAACCATTGTTCATTGTAAGATTTTACATAGAGAAATAAATGCTTTAAAAAAATCGAGTAAGTAAAAATGATACCATAAAACATGTTACTTAAAGATGCCACAGTTTCCTCTACAGAAAAATTATTTCAGGAAAAAAATGTTTAATATGTTTAATCATATCTTCTTTCCTCTTTTGAACCTCACAATTCAAAAGATACATCTCCTGGTCTGATGCAACACAAATTCAACAAACTTGATAAGCAATCATCCTCACTGGAGCTATTTTAGTAATCATGAATATGCAGCTATGTTCCCCAATGCCACAATCAAATCACTTGAATCAGCTTTGCAGCTCATCCAGATTGTGAACCATGGATCCATAAAGAAATCTGAACAGAATTTCATGTTGTGAACAACAGTACAGGGAATAATGATGGTCTGCTGCCTGCTGCAATTAGTGTTTGCATGTATGCAAATGAGTGATGATTGAATGAAACTGCCTAAATCTGTATTTTTGCAGAATCAGTTTGTTATAATTATAATCAAATAATAATTTCAATGGTGTGAAGTATAGTTTTGATTTAAAATATAGATTATTACTTCTGTCCTAAACCTTCTAGTGCTCTGTTGATATAGACAGTGAAGTTAGCATTGGCATATCTTAGTTTCCTCTGCCAAAGAGGTTATGGTTTCATTGCAGTTGTTTGTTAGTTTGCAGCAGTACACCAACGGACAGACTGCCATGAATCTTGACGGAAGGATGTGGCATGAGACAGGGAAGAACCCATTTCATGTTGTTGTGGATTCAGATCAGAGGTCGGATCGAGGAACTGTAACATTGTGAGATAGAGCATTTTGCAACATTTTATCTGAATTCTTAGAGAATCATGTGCAAATCTTGAAAAAGTCAGACATATTTAGGGGACTTATATCAATGAGTGTGTGAAATGTGGTGCAGCTTGATTGAATTTAAGGGGATTGTTGGGCCTTGGCAGAGGTTTATGTGCTACTGAATGCCAAAGTTGTCTTTACAACTGGCTTTAGTCTAGTGTTTTCAGATCTCTGCGCATTGTCCAAGTAACTGCCTTGGACTTCTGTTATGTTTTTCATCTAAAATAAGTGGTGTTTTCTTCTTGGAAACAATATAGAGCGCTCAAATTCAGTTGATTTGTTAATGCTGTCTGTCGTCTCTCCTTGTAAAATATTAGGTGTTTTGTAATCACCTCTGTAAAGCCCACTGCTGATGCTGGCCAGAGATCACTGATTACAGCTCTCATGGCCTCGTCGGTTAAACGTGGACATGTTGATAAGCCCAGCGTAATGAAGTGCTGGAGATGAGGACAACATGATACTGCACGTCAAACTGAGTGTTGTTTTCAGAGGCAATGCAGTGACCAAGAGGTGGTGGGTATATGGTGAGTGTAGAAAGTGCACGGCTGCCACACCACAGACAGGGATTTACATTGATAGCTATGTCTTGGCTGGTTTACAAAAACTCCCTACAGGGAAGGATTGTGGTTTTTGTTGAATGTAAGTAAACATGTTGTGAAGAAGGAGCATGAGCCCATAGAACTGAGGTCAAGTTGATGGGTCCATTTGTAACTTATTGCATGGGTAGCCATGGAGGTCAGAATTCCTATTACCACTAGAGGGCTTTGAGCATAAA